GGAACACCTCATAAGGATCTATGCCTATGCTGACCTCCCTAAGCAAAGGATACAAGGAGTCTTCTAGCTCCATAGCAACTCCTGCATCGTGACATCTAAGTGTTAATTAAACCAGAAATTCATCAACAAAAGTAGGAATTCCATCGTTGTCCTGCAGTTAGTGATAACGAATATCATAGAATGAGCAAACAGCTGAAAGTTGGGAAATGCTGTAAATAAGAATGTAAACATTTCTAATTCAACGGCAAACAACAAGCACGTTATATTCTATAATGTTGGACAAGTTTGTTAGTGCTTAAATCATAAGGACAGATAAGATTAGTTTATCCAGTTAAGCCACAAACATACCCTAAAAACAAGAAAGAAAGAAAGAGGAGAAAAGAAGAAAAAACATATTTTAGTCCGTGAAAGATCCTCCACAAATTTAGATGCTTATAGGATAGGGAAAATACCTACCTTCAAGGGCTTGGATTGACCGCTCGGACCCCAATAATTTTAATGCGATTGGCTGATCAGGCCCAAAAACTTCACCTGCTGCAAGCTGGACAAATTGAAACCAATTATGTACTTTCCCAGGTTTTATTGACTGATTAAAAATCTTTTGAAATTTTCATACTGGTTGATAAGAACAAACATGATGATGCTAGATAGATACGTCCAAGCAGTTAATTCATACTTTAAGTGCATTATTAGATGAACTAGCAGTGCATCCAATCTACTTGAGCCATTTAAAAAAAAAAACAGTACTTATTAGATAAGATTCCGTCCACCAAAAATTCTTGCCAAGAAACTTATTCAAATGAAAGATTGTCTACATGGTGCGAACCGGGTTTAGATAGTGGATGAGATTCTGCAACTAAAGAATGCAAGGAACCTATCTCTAGCATTTACTAAAATTAATAGGGAAAGTGCTTCTTACTTTAAAAAGAAGATGATTAGCAATCATCCCGGCAGCACCTGAAACACTGACATTTATCAACTTCTTCCAACAACTTGTCTCTTCTTCCTGTTGACAAATAGTATGCTTAAAATTCAATACTAACTCTAGGACAAAGATAGATGTTGTTTGACTATTCAACTATAACATTGCATTGTAAACTGAAGATAACTTTCAGAAAGAGTTGGCTTGAGTTTGAGTATGCATGATCACCAATTACTAATCCAGCATACAAAAGGTGTACATTGTGTCTTTCCTTCTGCTTTCATTAAGAAAGTCTAGCAAAAGATAATAAGCCAGCAAAACCTTATGTTGTTTTTTGGAGTACAACGAATGGACTTCAAATCCTTGTGCTATATCTGTACTAGAAAAGTCAAGGTGCATGTAAGCTGGCATGGACACTAATATTATTTAAAAAAACTATCTTTTGGTCAAATTGGGGGCAAGAAAAAAGCCCTCATTTATAAAAGCTTTTACCAATTCTAAATTCTTGAACAAGTACAAACCAAATCATCTCAATGAGCAAGAGTCGCAAACTAACAATGACCACTTAGTGCTTACAGCTATGTCTAGAAAACAAAATGATGCTTCAAATCCCTAAATGGAAAACAGAATGCAGCAGCCCAACAGACTGAAATACTTTGGAATTTTACAGCTGAGCTAAAGCAAGGCTAAAACACGGAAATACTTGGTAACCCATATATAGTTTTCTGTTGTTTAATGACAAAATCAAGAAATTAGAGCTTACAGCTTTGAGATCATAAGTGAGACAGAAAACACCAAAGCATTCAGGTTTCTTCTTTAGGTCATTAGTCACCACTGGTGCTTGAACTTCACTGGGACATTAAATCAGCAAAGAAACATGTTTAAAAAACAATTACAAAACTATCAAACATGTGCTGAAAGTGAACAAATTTAACATACTTAGAAGTAACAGAGCAGCATATATTAGCATAGTGGGTTCTTTGGAGAGGCCTAAGACTGAACCGACGCTTATAAGAAATCTGATGAGTTGATACATAGGAAAGTTGGGAAGAGTAAAGACTAGTCTTTTTTATTATAGATGAAGAAGAGGGAGTAAATTCTGCCACTGCCATGGCAACTGAGAGAAGACTAGTAAATATTGAGTATAATTTTGATGGAGAGAGGAAACACAGTACAAAGGAAAAAGCTTCTGATTTTGGAGGGAGAAAATAGGGAAGGGGGGAAGAGAGCAGTTTGGATCAAGTGTTGATTTTGAGCCATGGCATACGACACTTGTCACGTTATCTCATCTCCTAAATATCTATCTACATCTTCTTAGCCGTGTATTTTTCTCAATGTTTTTCTGGTGAAAAGTACGAACGTTATTTATACTATTAGGACACTTAAGTCTTTATTTATTAATTAAGTAGTTATCTGTATCAGTATATCTATATAACAATTATTTACTAATAACTGCTATATTTTTCTTAGAATTAATCTTTTAAGTTATATTTTACTAACAACTTTTTACCTATAATAACAACAACAATTATATTTATAACAGAACGCTCATTGTAAAATTACTCGTCTATAACAGCCATATAGAATCTTTAAGATTGCTAATAATAATTCTAAAAGTGTGCACACAATCTTTTCCATTAAACAAAGTTTCTATCTTGCATAATGCATAAGATATAAAATTTGAAGATTTGTATATGATATCTTTTTCATTGGACAATTCAAAAAATATTTAGATAGAAAATTTAAATGTTAAGGTCTTAATTAGCTTGTCTTCAAGGAAAAACTATTGGATACTTTTTTGCTGAAAATTTGGACACGAACTTTCGCCATCTACCAAACAAATTATAATTACAAAGTTCTTTCATCAATCTTCAAAGATTTTATTCTCTATATACCTTTAAAATGTCTACCTTAGAATTTAAATCTTTATAGGTTTAGTTATAAATTTATTAATAATGTATTAGCTTTCTTCAATATTTAATTAGTAAAATATGCATATCTTTTGAGATTTTAAAGTTGAATAATTTTCTTTATCTTTTATATGTAACACTAAAAAGGAAAAAATAATTAATTTTTGGATATTTTTTATTTATAACAACCAAAAAATATTTAAACGACAAAATGTTGTTATAGGTGTATAATAGTTATTCACTATAAAAGCAAAAAATATCGAAACAAATGAGACAGACAGAACAAATGAGACTTGAAAAACAAGCTGGTCTTATTAGTAAGAAATTAAGGGGGGACTAGGCAGCCTGGTGGTATAAATGCATTCACTAAGAAAATCTTTATCAATTTCCTTTTAACAAGGTTTAATTAAGAATTCTAGGTGTGTGTTTATGAGTCCGGCTAACTCACTACGTCAAGGTAGTATATTAGCAATGTACCCACTTTATCTTTTCCTTAAATGCCTCTAAAACACAATATATATAACACATTAATGAATAGGTTTTTTTTTTGGTACTTGTACCAAAAAAACAAAACCCAGCTCTATGTTCTCCTTCTCTGGATATGGGCGCCTCTCTTCCTCTTTTATTTCTACCTTTCTGTTCCACAGTTATGGTTTATCTTGAGGAGAAGTGGGAACATCATTTGTTGTGAAATTCCAGGTTGACATTCACATTAGATGCTTTAGTTACAAAAGTAAAAGATTACTGAATAGATTAAACATATATTTAATAGATTAAAGATTAAATGAGATGAATATCATCTTTAAGTCTATTCTGTAAAACATTCCTTGCTTCCTGGAACAAAGTTCAGAAGAATATCTTTTAGGATGCAACAGGTTCTTTTTAGAAATCTTATAACATCACAGTCTGCTTTGCGGCAACTTTTAAAGTTAAAATCGGTTGAATAATTTCAAGTGCAACACTAGAAAGTTTTCCTAACATCCCAATCTTTAAGAATATCAAACCAACCCAGAAAGTACAAAAGTAAAGCTGAGTTAATATTGAAAAATGGAATCATCGTGAACAAACATGGCATTTCTTCTTCTCTAACCTTAACATGGAGCACCAATAATCGTGAAAATTGGAATCATCTCACACAGAAATCCTTTTAGCGAGAGGGACGTTTTTACCAACTCATGCCAAGTTAGATAGTTGTCCTACATACCTTATTGACGAACTAGTTACTCTTCTATGATGGTTAGACCTGCCTCCACATGAATCTTCAAAATCAATACAACTAGGTAATAGATATTATAGTGACGATTCCATGCTTCTTCACGTTAGATCCTACGAGGCTCGCCTCTGATTTTAGTTGCAGGCTATTTTGGGATTCTAAAGAGGGTTTGAGAGCATTTAGGGTGAGTTAAAGTGGGTGACACTTTCTAGAATGAAAGAGAAAGAGTTGCACTGCCTTTTTATACCATACCAAGTCTAGAAAATTTCGTCGCCCCCACATGCAAAACGGATCGCCCCGCCCATGTCACTGCTCCTAGTGGGATAGCTGGCGTGAGNGGGGGGGGGGGGGGGGGGGGGGAGGGGTGTAACATCATCCCCCTTCAGAACATTCGAGGACGTAGTCATTTCTTACAAACTTCTTTAGTTATTTTGGGTTGTGCCCGCCATGGTAGTCTCATTATTGCCTCCCGTAGTATGAAATAGATGGGGGTATAGGGTTCTTATATCTTTTTCAGCTTCCCGGGTCATTTCTTCTATATTATTGTTCCTCCAAAGTACTTTAATTGAAGCTACCTCTTTGGTTCGCAGCTTGCATACTTGACGATCTAGGATAGCCACTAGAATTTCTTCGTAAGATAGGTCCTCCGTAAGTTGAATATCTTCAATATGGGTAATACGGGATGGATTACACAAGCTCTTTCGAAGTATAGACACATGAAATACTAGATAAACTACTTCCATTTCTGAGGGCAGCTCACGCTTATAATCCACTTGACCGACTTTCTGAATAACTCGATATGGTCCAATATACCAGGGAATGAGTTTGCCTTTCTTACCAAACATCATCACGCCTTTCATAGGCGATACCCTTAAGAATATCCAGTCTCCCACAGTGAACTCCAAGTCTCATCGTCGATTATCTAAGTAAGATTTTTGCCTACTTTGAGCAGTCAATAAACGACCTCGAATCATTTTCACCTTTTCTACAGCATGTTGCACCAAGGAAGGACCCAATAACTTTGTTTCACCAATTTCGAACCAGCCGATAGGAGATCTACATTTTCGCCTGTATAGGGCCTCATATGGTGCCATCTGAATGCTAGCATGTTGTTGTAAGAAAATTTGATGAGTGGTAGATGATTTTCCAAATTTCCTTTGAAGTCTAAAACACTGGGTCATAGCATGTCCTCGAGCACCTGAATAGTGCATTTGGCCTGATTATCTATTTGTGGATGAAAAGTTGTGCTAAGGTTGATCCTCGTACCCAATCCTTTTTGGAATAATCTCCAAAAATTAGTCGTAAATTGGGCACCTCTGTCTGATATGATGGAAATTGAAACCCCATGGAGTCGAACTATTTCTTTGATGTATAACTTAGCATTATCTTGAGCTGAGAAGGAAGTCTTAATAGGTAGGAAATAAGCTGACTTGGTGAGTCGATCCACGATGACCTATGCGGAATCAAGTCTTTGGCGCAATCACGGTAATCCAGTAACAAAATCCATTTTGATTATCTCTCATTTCCAGGTCGGAATTTCCATATTCTGAAGCAATCCTCCTGGTTTCTAGTGTTCCACCGAAACTTGTTGGGAATCTGGACACTGAGCGACGTATTCAGCAATGTTTCTCTTCATGTCATTCCACCAGTATAGTTGTCGAAGATCATGACACATCTTTGTTAACCCCAGATGAACAGAATACTTGGGATTGGTGAATCTCTGCCATGATCTGCCTTCAGAGTCCCCCGACATCAGGCACACATAATTGGTCATGGTATCTAAGGACCCCGTCCTCGGATAGCTCGAACACTTGCGTCTTTTGAAAGGGAATGATTTCTCTTATTTTCACCAAAGCTCGATCGTCAAATTGTCATGCTTTTACTTCGCTACTAGCGAGGATTCGGAAGCATTTTGAACTATGGATCCTCCTCTACTGGTATCTAACAATCGTATACTTAAATTAGCCAACCCGTACAAGTCTTTAGTCATTTCTAACTTATAATCTTCCACATATCGTAAGTTGTCCATGGATTTGTAACTTAGCGTGTCAGCTACAATGTTTGCCTTTCGGGGATGGTACACAATATCAATATCGTAATCCTTTAACAATTCAAGCCATCTTCGATTCCTCAGATTTAATTCTTTTTGCTTGAATATGTACTGCAAGCTCTTGTGATCGGTGAATATGTTGACATGAACTCCATACACATAGTGACGCCATATTTTCAGGGTAAATATAACAGTTGCTAGCGCCAAGTCATGAGTTGGGTAATTTTGCTCGTGTTTCCTTAGTTGTCTCGAAGCATAAGCAACAACTCTCTCGTGTTGCATTAAAACACTTTCCAATCCTACTCTAGAGGCATCACAATATATAACATACCCCTCGGGTCCTTCAGGAAGAGTTAGAACTAGCGCCGAGATTAACATGTCATTTAGCTCTTGGAAGCTCTTTTCACAAACATCGATCCATTGGAATTTCATTTCCGTATGCATCAACTTCGTTAATAGAGAACCTATAGATGAGAAATTCTTCACAAACCTCCCGTAGTAACTGGCTAAGCCCAAGAAGTTGCGTACCTCGGTAGGAGTTATGGGCCTTGGCCAATTCTTAATTGATTCAACCTTTTGACTATCAACGTTGATAACCTCACTTGATATTATATTCCCAAGAAAATCCACAAAGTTCAACCAGAACTCGCATTTGAAAAACATGGCGTACAACTTGTGATCCCGGAGTGTGTGTAGGACCCTTTGCAAATGCTCTGTGTGCTCTGATTTTGATCGAGAATACACCAAAATATCATCTATGAACATGATCACAAAGATATCCAAAAATGGCATGAACACTCGATTTATCAGGTTCATAAAAGCCGTTGGTGCATTGGTTAGGCCAAAGGACATAACGAAAAATTTGTAATGGTCATATTTGATCCAAAAGGTTATTTTAGAAATATCTTCTTCCTTGATTCTTAACTGATGATACTCATATCTGAGGTCAATCTTTGAAAAGTACTTAGCACCTTGCAATTGATCGAATAAATCATCGATCCTCGATAGGGGATATTTGTTCTTAATGGTGACCTTATTCAACTGTTGATAATCAATGCACATCCTCGAACCGTCTTTCTATTGAACAAATTGCACTGCAGCTCCCCACGGGGAAGTACTGGGCCGGATAAAGCCTTTAT